TTTCACCTGTTTGTAAATAAATCACATCACTTGATTGTTAACACTGTGTTAGTTGTTCGTTTGGGAATCGGGGTAGGATTCTTGGTTCATTTTCATCACACATTTATGTGGCGCTCCTTCCCCCTAGACAGGGGCGTAACAGTAGATAAAAACATTCTAAGGTAACGAAAACACAATGATTCTTATTTTCAGCAGATTACAAAGTACAGAATGAATTTATATTACAGTGACGTAACACACTGGAGCTTTAACGTCAATGAGTTCTCATATTATTCATGTCAATCAACATCAGTCTTCAGGATCGTGTTAGGGTCCTTGGACACTGTTATACTTACTGAAGTCCAGATTACTTTGTTGTTCAGTATTTTGGTCATTAATAAACTTGTAAATAAAATCAAATAAAAATATTTTTTTAGCCGCTTTTTTAAGTATGCAGTCCATGGTAGCCACATATATCGTACTCTTCCACCACCTGTTAGTTTTAAAGTTTTAGTGCAAATGAAAAATTCCTTTTTTTTTAACAGTGATACTGCGGTGCTGATGAGCCCGACCATGCGAAATGCGTTCTGTGGTAGGAAATTATTGCAAATTATTGGGTAATCGCCGCTTGTTGGACTGACAATGGCCGATTGGAGAATGTTATTGCCCGACCACAGCTGTGACTCAGCAGAGGGAAGACTGACCGACAGTGAGGGCGGTGTTCCTCTGGAAGGGGTTGAATGGACAGCGACCTTTGGCACCGTCTTGTTGGACCACGGAGAAGCTTTCTGCATCCTGAAGGAGACGAGAAGAAGAAACTGTAGGATCATAGAAATCAAGTCTGAACTGGAGAAAATCTGTTCAAATCTGTCCATCAGACAAAATAATAAAAACACATTCTGACCCTGTTAGAGTTAATGTTCACTTACGATGTAGGCATCATGGGGGCTGTAGGCGTAGCTGCCACAGGCGTACAGGTGGGTCGAGTTCAGTGGCTGCAAGACACGCACAAAGTTTGGACAGTCGACCTGCAGACAGACAGACAGACAGACAGACAGACAGACAGACGGACAGGTGAACAAAATCAGCTGTCGAGCGTAGCTTTCTCTTAGCAGGTTGACATTCCCACCCACAGCACAGAGCTTTAGAACGTTCAGTTCATCAGCAAGGACAGAGGTATGTTGGTAATTACCTCTGCGTTCTTCCCTTTATGTTGACATATCTCTGTTTCACTGTCAGATGGTCTCCAGTCCACCTGGACCACAGACAGACAGACAGACAGACAGACAGACAGACAGACAGACAGAGACATAGAGAGACATCAGTCTGTGATGAATAAATAACTTGATTAATTTAGACCTTATATAAATCAAAGCATCATGAGAGTTTCCAGCTCACCTTCCTCTTCAGCTTGATGTCCTCACTCCGACTGACGTCCAATGAGACGAGGGCATTGCGCGCTCCAACGTACAGGGTGGACCCATCGTCGCTTAGCAACAGCGTGGTTGTGTTCTGGACGTCACTGAATAGGGGCAGAGGTCTGTCTGCAGAGTCTGGACACGACACAGAGGAGGTTGGTTGGGGCGTTAGAGACAGTTTCAGGGGAGTCGTGAGATGATCATGCAATGGCAAAGAAAGAATCCACTAAATTCATCAAGGAGTCAAAAAATAGTCTCTGTTTGATTGTTAAAAATTATAAAAATACAAAATACATACAGATAATTGTGTAGAAATATCAGGAACTCACAGGAAATAATCAAATCTCTGGTTTTCCAGAAACTTCCTGCAGTTATTGTGTTCACTGTTTCTGTTATTGATAGGTTGGGAACAAGTGGCCTAATGGAGGCATGTAAATGTTGAATAGAAGAGGTCCGAGGATTGAGCCTTGGGGAACTCCAAACAGGCGCAGCAGTTGTTTTTCCCCGACGCACTTTGCTGAGACATTTTAGAAGCTGCCTGCAGCAGCTCTGAGTGGTCGCCTGCTAATGGAAGTATGTAAATGTGTATTATGTAGAAGATCTGACTCAAACCACTTTAGCTGTGAGCCTGAGAGCATCAGCTTTCCAGTTCTTCCAGTGTTATTGTGCTGAATTTAACCAAAGGATTTAATGAAACTAGAACTGGAATCTTGCCTCAATCCGTTTTTAAAGGAATATAATTTGTTCTTGAACGGTAAAAGACTAAGTTGCAGTTTGTAAGAGGTCTCATGAGCCCTCAGCCTTCACATCATGCACCTGTGGGAAACTGTAGGTTGATAACATTGTGTGGTTTTTCACAACTCACATCGATGGGGACTAAACAAAGGCCTAGTTTAATGTGAAATGGCCAATGGTAAACCAGACTGACACTATAACGGGAGATGAGAGAACAAAGAGCGGTAAATAATAACATCAACAGCGCTTCGTCTGCCTTAGTCAGTCAGCTGACACAGAACCACTTCCTGTTCCCGGCTGAGGCAGGCAGTGCGGGTTCAGGTTTGGAGTGAATGTGGTTCAGAGCTGCAGATAAACTCACTGTCTGTATCTGATCTGAAGGAGCCCAACAACCTTTGAGCAGAGATAAGAGTTTAAAATAAGAACACAAGCTGTTCGATGGAGGTGTTTCATTTTATTCACACGATGCTCTGATGCGTCAATAAGGTCTACATATAAAGCGGTCAAAATTAGTCGTACTTTCTTTGGTATTTTACATTATAAGCCTTCAACACTCTGATCTCCTTATTGGTCCGGTTCTATATCAATTCCCACAGAATCAGGGTTCCTATGCTTCCTGGAAAACCTGGAAATTTACAGACTAGTTTGCCAGTAATGGAAAACCCTGGAAATTGGTTAAAATGAACAAATATCCTGAAAATTATCCCTGTTGTCCTGGAAATATTGAATTGTATTTTATCCTGTGAATGAGGGGACATGTTGGCTCTGCTACACTAAATGGAACTGAGCTTAGTATCTTTGGTAACACCTGAGTTTACTCTACTACTTCATGTCAAAACAGCCGCTGTGTAAAAGGTCTATTCAGAAAGCAGAAAGATTGTCTGCCAAGCGTGCCACAAAAGTGAGCTAACAAGCCCATAAACGCTGACCACCGTTTGTGAGCAACTGCTGTCCCGTACTGTCAAATAAACTCCTGGAAAATGATTTCATAAAAAGAGCGGGAACCCTGCAGGTTTTCAGTGTCAGAGCAGCCGTTGCATTGGCGCTGCATTCCTGGAATTGAAGCCCATGTTGGGTAGAAAGCTGCCTATTGTCGGTGTGACATGAACTTTGAGCTTTCGTCTTCTCCGCCATGACTCAGCACAGACGCTAGAGTCTGACATCTTGGTTTAGCAATGCACAACTGTCAGAAAAACATGCTAGCATCAATAAAAGTCACTGATAAACTCTGATGCCTCTTGATTCCCATCCCCCAAATCTGAACAACTCTACTTAGATTAAGGTTTTTCTTTTTTTAACAAGTGGATTTAAACACGAGTTGTAATTGCACACTAATTAAAAAACAGATTAGAAACCTTTAGTTGTCAGCAATTAGCTGCAGAAAGTTCAATCACGTCCAATCATTTACTTGTTTACTGCCCTCGCAGAATGGAGGTACAGGTCATCACTCTGTGGTAAATTCAGCTGTCGTCTGCATAGTTGATGATACTGTTTTGTATAATGGAAGCATGTTGATGTAATAAATAGAAGAGGTCCGAGGATTGAGCCTTTGGGAACTCAGAAGCATAAAATAGTTCCTGCCCTGAAGACATGAACCCCTTTAGAGTCTGAGATCCCAGTCCAGCTGTCCAGTGGTAACTTTATCGAATAATTTCATAAACCTAGAACTGGAATCTTGTAAACCAATATGATTCATTCTTACAATACAAGTTGCAGTTTGTCAGTGTTTGTAAGATAAGCTCATATTTTCCTCAAAGTAAAGTATTAAAAAAAGAATCCTTCTGGTATCAGTATTGAAACTCTGGTTCATAACGACATTCAAAAATCTCACTTCATACCCAGAGCTCCTCATCATTCTGTTTGTTGTCTAGTTTATGTTCAAGCAGAGCAGAATCACTTCCCTCTACCAGTCTCACCACAGCCATTCATGGTCAAACGGTAACACTGACGCAGACTGGTCTTTGGGGTTTTTATTTCTCATGAAGTGGGAGCTGTCAAGATTTCACAGAAAGTCCTAAGAAACGTGACGATAGAAATTACACATCTAGAGTCCAGATAAATTAACCAGTCATATTGTAACCCTATTTAACAATGTATGCTAAATTATTTACTTACAATCATTATGCATTATTATTGCACAATTCTGTGTATTTTTATATATTAAAGGACAATAATTTTTTCATCCTGTAAAACAAAATGTGACGCTTACGTAAGAATAACACTCACCCATCAATCAATCTGCAAATCCTAGCCACACAGAGCGAAAATTCATTAGTTAGCTAGCTAACTAACGGCGATTGTATTATAGCTCTGTCATATTCAGCCACCAGAGGAACACAGGAAGTACCCTGTAATATCCATTACTGATGAGTATGTACATTGTTAATTGTCAGGTTTTAAGACCAAGCTTTTATTTTACAAAATAACATAATTCAGACAAATAACACAGCAACTGAGCAACTTTTATAAAGATTGTGTCGAATATAGTCACATAACTGAGTGTCTGTAATTTCCTCACTGAGATCATGCTTTCGTAACACACACACACACACACACACACACACACACACACACCCTCTGAGTGTCAGTTGGTGCACAGACAGGAAGTTTGTGGCATCGAAGCAAGAGACAAACTGTAAGTTACAGGAACTCTCAGTCAACACTGATCTTTATGTTATATTGTTCCCGACTGCTTCTTCATCTCTGTATATTCATATATGATAGAGTATCTGACCCTACACACATCAGCCATTATGAGCAGTGTGTGGGTATATTACTATCACCTGTCACCTGTCAGTGGGTATATTACTATCACCTGTCACCTGTCAGTGGGTATATTACTATCACCTGTCACCTGTCAGTGGGTATATTACTATCACCTGTCACCTGTCAGTGGGTATATTACTATCACCTGTCACCTGTCAGTGGGTATATTACTATCACCTGTCACCTGTCAGTGGTATATTACTATCACCTGTCAGTGGGTATATTACTATCACCTGTCACCTTTTTTTTTTTTTTTTTTTTTTTTTTTTTTTTTTTTTTTTTTTTTTTTTTTTTTTTTTTTTTTTGTTTTTTTTTTATTATCCCTGTTAGTGGGTATATTACTATCACCTGTCACCTGTCAGTGGGTATATTACTATCACCTGTCACCTGTTAGTGGGTATATTACTATCACCTGTCACCTGTCAGTGGGTATATTACTATCACCTGTCACCTGTCAGTGGGTATATTACTATCACCTGTCACCTGTCAGTGGGTATATTACTATCACCTGTCACCTGTTAGTGGGTATATTACTATCACCTGTCACCTGTCAGTGGGTATATTACTATCACCTGTCACCTGTCAGTGGGTATATTACTATTGCCTGTTAGTGGGTATATTACTATCACCTGTCACCTGTCAGTGGGTATATTACTATCACCTGTCACCTGTCAGTGGGTATATTACTATTACCTGTCAGTGGGTATATTACTATTACCTGTCAGTGGGTATATTACTATCACCTGTCAGTGGGTATATTACTATCACCTGTTAGTGGGTATATTACTATCACCTGTCAGTGGGTATATTACTATCACCTGTCGGGTACTATTACCTGTCAGTGGGTATGTTACTATCACCTGTCAGTGGGTATATTACTATCACCTGTCAGTGGGTATATTACTATCACCTGTCAGTGGGTATATTACTATCACCTGTCAGTGGGTATGTTACTATCACCTGTCAGTGGGTATGTTACTATTACCTGTCAGTGGGTATGACTTATCACCTGTCAGTGGGTATGTTACTATTACTATTACCTGGGTATTAACATAACCTGTCAGTGGGTATGTTAGATCTGTAAGTGGGTATTTACTATCACCTGTCAGTGGGTATGTACTATCACCTGTTTTCCAGTTCTGGGTAATGAGCTTAAAGGTTAAAAGAAGTTTTCCAGGGGGCTTCTGTCCAAATATGCATCATTTCCTGTTTGTATCTTAAGTTTCTATCTAGGTCTTAAACATGTGACCGACACGTGTCGCAACACCGACTCACTACAGAGAAAATCAACTCGTATAAGATATAAAGATATAAAGTATATAAACATACAGTCTAAAGCTAAATTCACTTGTTCCAACTTCTTCTGGTGAACATTTCTGTTATTTTCTGTCATTTTATGGATGAAAGGAGTATCAATACAGACAATAATTATTAATCTTAGCCCCTGATAAGAACAATAAATAGTCTGACTTAATATTATCTCAACACAACTGTGACAGGCACTGTAAATCAATAGAGACCCATAAATCCCATCATCCTCCAGTCACACAAACACATACAGAGCAGAATACATGATACCGATTGATTATTGATCAGAAATGTCTTACTGAGGAGGAAGGAGGTTCGTGGAGGAGGCAGCGAGCCTGCGGAGCTCAGGAGGACGAGGAGGAGGGCGACTGATGGAGCCATGATGAAGGATAAAGACTGAGACGAGTTCCTCCTCTGACACTCAGTGCTGAAAGAACTTGCCACAGCTTCCTCTTTACAGCGGTCGGAGGTCAGAGGGGAGGAGGAGGGAGGAGGAGGAGGGCTGAAAGCATCTCTGAGCATTACCATCAGATAAATGCATGATGCGTTCAGTGACATGAAATCCGCAGGAAGTCATCAGCTGTCAGAGAAGAAGAAGTGATGACTGTTAGTTTCTCTGAAAGCCAGTTAGAGCACAGTTCACTTCATCCTGTTTCACATCCTCCAATCCTCTGGTTTCACATTTCACCCACTGGCACACCAACAAACCACTGTGTGGGCCGACCCAGTGAAGCTTCTGCTCGCCGTCCCCCGGTGGTTCGGGGAAGCAGAAGCCCGTCGGCGGTATTGACACCCGTTTACGCCAATCGGAGGTCACTAACATTAATGTGGAGTTGTTGTCGGACACCGTAGTTTTCTCTGGACCCCTCCCCAATGTGACCAGTGATGACATGTATAGCCGCATGTCGTCATTCCACCGCTGGCTGTCGAGGGCAAGTGGTGCTTCATTGCTAACTGGACCTTTTGGGAACTGGTCTGATTAGGAGAGACGGCATCCATCCCACTTTGGATGGAGCGGCTCTCTTATCTAGAAATATGGCGAAGTTTATTTCTAAAACCTGACAGTCCAGAGTTAGGACCAGGAAGCAGAGCTGCTGTCTTACACACTTCTCTGCTCTTTCTTTAGAACAGTCACCCACCCAAAACCCCATAGAGACTGTGTCTGTCCCCCGACCACCTAAATTATTTAAAGAAATAAAAACAAGAGGAGTTCAACATAAAAATCTAATAAAAATTAAAACCAACTCCTCAGTAGCACAAAATAAGAGAATGAAATGTGAGCTGTTAAATATCAGGTCTCTGTCCTCTAAAGCTGTTTTAGTGAATGAATTAATATCAGATTATGATATTGATTTACTTTGTCTTACTGAGACCTGGTTGTCCCACGAGGAGTATGTTAGCCTAAATGAATCCACCCCCCCAGTCATATTAATACTCACATTCCTCGAGGCACAGGCCGAGGAGGTGGAGTAGCAGCCATATATGATTGGAGCGTTTTAATGGACCCTAAACCTAAACTAAATTATAATTCATTTGAAAGCCTTGTTCTTAGTCTTTCTCACCCAAACTGGAAAACACTGCAGCCAGTTCTATTTGTTATAGTGTACCGCGCTCCTGGACCGTACTCTGATTTTATATCTGAATTTTCAGAGTTTTTATCAAGTTTAGTCCTTAAATCAGATAAAGTAATTATTGTAGGTGATTTTAATATTCATGTGGATGTTAACAATGACAGCCTTAGTAATGCATTTATATCATTAATAGACTCAATTGGCTTCTGTCAGAGAGTAAATAAACCAACTCATTGTTTTAATCACACTCTTGACCTTGTTCTATCATATGGCATTGATATTGAACATTTAATAGTCTTCCCACATAATCCTTTCCTATCTGACCATTATTTAATAACTTTTGAATTCATACTATTAGATTATAAGCCATTAGGCAAAACTTCCTACAGCAGATGTCTATCTGACAGTGCTGTAGCTAAATTTAAGGAGGAGATTCCTTCAGTGTTTAATTCAATGCCATGTCTGAATTTAACAGAGTCCTATAATGACTTTAGTCCCTCTGAAATTGATAATCTTGTTGATAGTGCTGCAGGCTCACTACGATCAACATTAGACTCTATCGCTCCTATAAAAAGGAAATTATTAAAACATAGGAGACTAGCACCTTGGTATAACCACCAAACCCGCCAGTTAAAACAAATAGCTAGAAAATCTGAAAGGAAATGGCGCTCTTCCAAATTATCAGAATATCGCTCAAATTGGCAAGATAATCTTAAAACTTATAGAAAGGCCCTCCGTAATGCCAGAGGAGCCTATTACTCAGCACTAATAGAAGAAAATAAGAATAACCCTAGGTTCCTCTTCAGCACTGTAGCCAGGCTGACAGAGAGCCACAGCTCTATTGAGCCACATATCCCCATAAACTTAAGTAGCAATGACTTTACAGCAATTATATTAAATAACAGCACTGATGATAAAGAGAATGAACATATTTTAACCAAATTTGTAAATGAGATGAACAAATGACACAGATAATGTAGAAACAGTCGGTTTTATTGAGGATATTTCCCCTAGCAGCAAACCTGTGAACACAGCGGGACGCTAACAGCACGTCAACCAATCAGCTTGAATGATCAGACGTGTTTGCTCGGACTCTTTAAGGATCGTCGGGTGAAAACATTCAGTTCTGTTGAGGCCAGTTTGTGGCTTTCAGGCTTTTCGCAGCAGGAGTTAGTGACATCACTTCCTGTGGGCGGGGCAACCTCTGGCGATTTTTCCCGCTTCCACACAAGACAGTTTGAAAGAACAAATCAGAAGTTTCCAATTTGGAGTTTAAAGAGGCAAAAATGTTGGTGTGAACACAGCGCTGGAAGATTTGGTTTAAAGTACGATGGTTTTAGTAACGTTCACACTCACATCGCTCAGTGGCTTCAAAATATAACGCTGTAGGTGTCACTCTTACTTTCTGGACTCAAACAAACAGAGTTTGAAACCAGGAGACCGTTGTTCGAATCCCGAGTGTCAGCAATCTGTTACAAGTACGTTACGTAACTTACGACCTTTTCCTCAAGCTAATCGCATCGTTTTTGTGCCTAAACCTCCACAAACTCTCTTCGCTGATCTCACAGATTCCATTTAGTGTAGCAGAGCCTTTCCAGTGAGCACAACATGACCTCTCACTCTGTTTGACCTGAATGGAACTGAACCTTAATTGGTGTTTACCCTACTATTACATGTCAAAATGGCTGCTGTGAAAAAAGTATCTGGCCACAGCACAGGATGAAATTAATTTCGAGGATATTTTGTCATTTTAATGAAATTCCAGGTGTTCCCTAGTCTGTAAATTTCCAGGTTTTCCAGGATGTGTGTTTACTTTCGGGGAACCAATAAATGTACTTAAAACACCAAATGTAGGGGCTTGGTTCCTTGTAGAGACTCTATCTGTTAGATATGCATTGTTGCTCACTAGGAGGAAACCTACAGCGTTGTGTTCTGTGCGAGGATGTGTCGAACATTTGAGCTCTTTGACGTCTTTCAGGGTTTTTAGAAAGCGCTGACGTCGGCACCAGAAACTGAACAGCAGCACAGATCAGATCTGTTACATCATTCATCCGTCTTTGGTGTAACATCACGAACATTCGTTACATTCCTGACTGTCAACGATAGAAAGCTCAAGGCGGGTTAGAAAAATAAAAACCTGATCCAGCACAGCGTCTCCCAGCAGAGACAGACCGGGGCAGAACCAGTGCTCCTTGTAAGGCTTACAGTTCACTTTGAGTCCGACATGGTTCTCGCCTTCAGGACGTGCGTTTGGGTTCGAGGTTCATTCCAGCAGTCAGTGAGTGAGACATCGGTCTCAAACCTTTACAACAGTCCACAAACGTTAAAATAAGATCCAACAGCAGAAAAACGCTCAGATTTGAAGAATAAATTCAGGAAATACGAAATACAAAGGGCAGAATATTTGGATAAAATGTAACATTTCAAAAATAAAGTCTTCATATTTGGAGACAAAAGTCAGAGCTGCAGCCATTAATGAATCAACAGAAAAATAATTGTGTAAAATAATATGTAATAACTATTCTGATAATCAATTAAAGTCCCCATGAAGTCAGAATTGATATTTCAGTGTATCTGTCCAACACTGACAGGAAGTCCTGTTTCAGGTATTTTCAGGTCGGTATTTTAGAGTTGAACGCAGCCATCGGTGCCGACGGAATAACGTTACAGTACCGAGGTCAGTTACAGAGTTTCCTGATAGAAAGATTGATCAGTAGCTAACCGCTAACTGACACAGCCAAACCCAAATCAGTACTGGATTCCCTGTTGGTCTCAAAGATGGTGTTCGGTCCCGGGTCCGGCTGTGTTCAGTGAAGGCAGACGCTGACGCTAGCTCATAGTGCTAGCTGCTATTGGCTGCTGTAAACACCAATCAGTATCCACGACAAGTTCCTCCCTAACTGTCGGTTTTTACAGGAAACAGTAAATAAGAGGAAGCACACAGAACTCTGCTCCCTGTTTCGTGGGGATTTGCTTCTGAAATATTTCTTTCTGAATATCTGACAAAACAACACATTTACAGACTTCACCTTGGACACGTTATAGACCAAACGAATAATCTAGAAAATAACTGCAGATGAATCAATAATGAAAATAATCTTTAGTTGTAGAACTAGTTGGAATTTCTTATATATTATATTTTCAGAATAAAGTTGTTGAAGTAACTTTCTAATATTTGGACTCTTCAGATATTACAACTTTCTTCTGAACTTCATTCTAAAATCTTGAGATTTTTTATCCCAAACACATTGTAAATTAATCCTTAATCCTTCGGGGACATTCGGGGCCAGATCCAGGATCTCAAGTCTTTTTTAAATCCCAGGTTGTTGGTCTTCCAGTCTCATGAATCCAGTTTAATAAAGACTGAGTCCGTCCGTCCGAACTGCAGTGAACAGAATCCTTCTACATTCGGGTTTTGCTAAAAAAAAAAAAGTTTGAAACTTAAAAAATATGTCAAACTTCCAGAGGAACTTCCTCAGGGTCCTTCAGAGTCCTGCAGAGTCCTGGACCACCTTGAGCAAGGCACTGAACCCCCCGCTGGCTCCAGGGGGCGCTATAGACACTTTAATGTGACATCATCTCCAGCAGTCGAAGGTTGTCACTGCCGCGGCGCTGCTGAGCAAGGCACTGGACTTACATTAACATTATTTACAGTTCTGAGAGGGTTGAGAGAGAAATCCGATGACTGAGTGCAAACTGGATAATAAAGTCATCATCATCTTCATCGTCTCTCTGCACACCGACTCCCATCATGCACTGGGGTTAAAGTGGAGACGAGTCAACTTTCTGAGGGTTTGTGGGTCGAAGTGGAGGAAGAGGAGGTCGTCTGCAGACAGGAAACAACAGATTATTGATCAGAATACACTGTATCTTTATAGATTATTGATCAGTATACGATGTATCTTTATGGATTATTGATCAGTATACACTGTATCTTTATGGATTATTGACAGTATACGATATCTTATGGATTATTACAGTATACACTGTATCTTTATGGATTATTGATCAGTATACACTGTATCGTTATGGATTATTGATCAGTATACAATGTATCTTTATGGATGATATTGATCAGTATACACTGTATCTTTATGGATTATTGATCAGTATACACTGTATCTTTATGGATGATATTGATCAGAATACACTGTATCTTTATGGATTATTGATCAGTATACGATGTATCTTTATGGATTATTGATCAGTATACGATGTATCTTTATGGATTATTGATCAGTATACACTGTATCTTTATGGATTATTGATCAGTATACACTGTACGTTATGGATTATTGATCAGTATACAATGTATCTTTATGGATGATATTGATCAGTATACACTGTATCTTTATGGATTATTGATAGTATACACTGTATCTTTATGGATGATATTGATCAGTATACACTGTATCTTTATGGATGATATTGATCAGTATACACTGTATCTTTATGGATGATATTGATCCTGTATTGACAGTCAGACTGTGGACATATGACGGCCTTTAGCTCGTGTTTCTAGAGTTACGTGTTGTTACGAACACGTTAGGAATTGTTAAAATGTGATATTTCTTAGCAGGGAGCTTTTAGTTGGATTCAAACTGCTGATATGGATCATTGTTAACGTTTAGTCTCCACTACAGAAACACTAGGTAACGTAATCCCATAATAATCTGATCATTTAAACCCTTTATGTCATAATTTGCTGAAGATATAATTGATTAACTAACCTTGAATCAGCCCTTTGAAGATGAGAGGAAAACACAAAAGACTGTAAGAAACCCTTCATTCTACCTGTTGGGACCGGCTGCAGGTGCGACGGCTCTGTGTTGTGTTGGTTTGGTGCTGGGGGGGTAGGCGGGGTGAGGGGGGATGTGGGGGGGGGGCGGCGGGGCCACAATGCGGGGCTTTATTGGAACCACCGGTTTGGATGAAACCGGGACCTGAAGAGAGAAAAATGAAAAAAATATGAATGAACAGAAAGATGTTTTTCCTACGTCAGTGTTAACCAGTGCTGCAATGATTACCGGTAGTCGATTAATTGACCAGTTGTCAACGATTAAATTAATCCACAGATTGTCTCCCATCAAACCAAAGCTTTAATCGAACCCGAACAAATTCTGTGCGAGTTCGAGACACAGAAGCTTGAAGAATCAAAGCTCTACATCAAACCATATCTCCCCAACACTTAGTGACTGATCGCCCAATCAGGAACCATCAATCAGGCAGAATTACATCACCTTCTCCTCACTTCATTCGCTGTCACATCACGTTCTTTCTACATGCTAAGCACATGCAAGCTACATGCTAACAGCCACCAGGTGTGGTGTACCTGTCCAGGTGTGACGGGGTCAGGGGGGAGTGGCTTGTTGGGTGGAGCTGGTCGGCTCACCAGCAGCTGGAAGGTTAGTGAGGAGGAAGAGAGAAGCTTCAGAGACCAGAAAGACGAGACAGCGTTTTACTCTGATTAATTAAATATGGATGGCCAAAATAATTCAGAAGTTAAATTTTAAATACGTTGATCAGTGACGCATGCAGTCAGAAACAGAACACTGAGGGAGATCATGCTGTTAAGGCTCGGTCACACCAGAATTAAAACCTGTTCATTTTAATGTAATGAGTGCGATCAGTGGAGGTGAACATGCAGCGCTCTCACGTAGACCTCAACTCGAATTTCGACACCAATAATCTGCAAGCCGTCCGCACATTGCTAACAGACTAGCTACCGTATTAGCTGTGTGTCACCAGTTTTAATAACCTCGATCTGCTGCTATGTCCTGCAGTCCACCCTAACCCAGGTAGCGGCTCCTGTTTTTGTGCTTCACTTCTGTTTGATTGCTTCCCTCATCTAAGCTAAGTAGCTTGACTGGATAATTTAACAATTTCAAAAATCACTAAAGAATCGAGATGGCAAGTTGGTGCAACGCCCTCAAACTATCTCCGAGTAGGAAGATGACATGACAGAAATGCCCTCAAATAACAGGGCTCCAGAATGCGACCAACATTTTTAAGAGTGCGACTAATAATTTTTCTAGGTCGCACTGGTATACCTGACGCTGCCCGGGTGAAAACATAAATTTAATTCGCAAGCGCATCATCTCTCTGTGTTCTCCTGTGAGCGAACTCACACACTCATGGTAGGATCATATCGGGTTCTAAACCAATAAGAGACAGAGCTCGGGCGGGTCTTTGCCTCTGATTGGCTGTGGTCCTGTTCACCGCGCTAAATTGTGTGTGTTTAAAAATTGCCGAGCCCCGGTCCTTCGGCGACAGCATCAGACTCGTAAGCAGAGGAACCGAGTCTGGGATAGAGCCCGGCTCCGAGACCCAAATTAAAAAGGTCAAAATATATTCCTTCAGACAGGACTGGCTGAAACAATTTCCCTGGCTGAGGTTCAGCAAAGGACGTAACGCAATGCACTGCCTGTACTGTCAGGAGTGCGGTCAGAATATGGCCAGAAATAGTGCATTCGTGAGCGGGTCAACAACGTTTCGTATCGAAACTTTTATTTGGAAATGTTTTATTTTGCTTAGTGTTTTAATTTGAAATGTTTTATTCAGCTCAGTGAAGCACTTTAAACACTTTATTTTTCTTTTTATATATAATTGTGCTGCAAATAAAGACAAGCATTTCTCTACACCTTATTCTTGTTTAAAAATCATTCATATTATATAAAAGTTATGGAGAGCGATAAAAAGGTGACCTTACGGCGTTAAAGGCGATGCAATGAAAAATGTAGGTGCACCTACATTTTATGCTAGTGCACCTAAAAAAAAAAAAAAGTTAGGCGCACCAGTGCAACCAATGAACAAAGTTAGTCTGGAGCCCTGAATAACATACAAGGACCTTTTGTTTTTTGTTGTCTCTTAGAGTGGAAGGGCCCAAAATCGACCAAATTCTTCTAGAAGTGATGACAGTCTTGGATCACCTTGGTCATAATTGTAAAAATAATCATCTGCATATAAAAATATTACCTGATGATTATTTCCACTTTTAACAATTTGAAATAGGACAAAACTTTCACTATACCCTAAATAATCAGCAGATTTAATCAATCCGCAGCTGAAAGTAGTCCCCAACAAATGCACTATTTCCTGCTGTTTGATAAAGATCAGTTAGCAGCTGTTTTAAACACGAAACTACATATTTGTTTTGAAAGTCACCAGTAGGAACCAATGAGATTGAAGCCACAGTCAGACAGTATTTAGTGACGCAATGACTGTTGTTGGGTCTGAACATTCGATTACTTTCTGGTGCGAGTGGGCCCTGAGCATTCTTTGCTCCTCCAACCAGCAGGTGGAGCTGCAGCCTGTAACAGCTGAACATCAATCACAGTCTCTACAGGTACTGCAGACAGACACAGGACAGACAGTACACACTACAGGTAGCGGTGACTGTACCTGGTTGGGGGGGTTGGGGGGTAGAGGCTTGGTGGGGGGTGCTGGTCGCTGTTTGACAGATTGAAGCAGCAGAAATAAAAGTCAGAGGAGCAGCAGGTCAGTGTTTAAAGTTTCTTCTTCTATTATCTTTTATTTAATATTAATATTGAGACTTAAAGATTTCCAGCATTTAGAAGGTGAGTTAACGGTTTCAGATATTTCAGATTCAGCCGTAAGAAGTTATTTACTGGATTATGGATGGACAAAGAGCCACGAGGCCTGTTTATCCATAAACAACGTAATGCCCCACTCACCTATCCTCTTAAAGTCCACATGAAACAGAAAGCAGAGTGCTGTTTGATAAAGTTGTGTGTTTGTACAGTGTTAATAAAGTTGTGTGTTTGTACAGTGTTAATAAAGTTGTGTTTGTACAGTAATCAGTGAGCTCTGTGTCGCTAACAGTTGCAGATTGATTGACGGGGGAATATCAGAATATTATTGGTTGATATCAGTTAGTTCATGCTGACGTAATGCTGACGTAATGATTGGATTTTATATAAAAATACAAAGAAATCTATGTTTAGTAGAGTTGGGGCAGACATTGTTCAGGAGAGAAACAATATGTTGTGTTGTGATCTTGAAGGGTTAAATTATATCTAAATTATTCCTCAAACTATCCTCCATACAAACAGTTATTCTATCAGTAAAACACTGTAAAATCAGATCACATCAATAAATATTATATTTTCATTCCAGAACGACACACTGTTGTCACGACAACGACGAGACAGACACCAGTCAGTTAGCAGCAGCGACACATGAACACAGACGTTAGCGCCTCCAGGTGAGGTCAGCTGAGGTTACCTGCGGTGGGGGTTTTAGGGCGGGGTCAGGGGGGAGTGGCTTAGTGGGAGGAGCAGGTCTGTCATGAACCTGATAGGAGAGAAAACAGGAAGCAGAAGCAGAGTGACAGCTGATATGTGCACGAGAGAGGAGCATCTACCAGAGGTCAAAGGTCAAACAAGCAGTGTGTTAATGTGAGCTAACAGGAAGCAGCTGTGATATCGTGGCACTTCCTGCGTTCACAGTGAATCCACGTTGAAAGACACTGCGCTCGATGATTCATCAGTTCACCCAATTCAACATAAGATAAGATATTCCTTTATTTGTCCCACAATGGGGAAATTACAATGTTGCAGCAGGAAAGTGGAGAAAGAGAGAAAACAGCATCATGCTTCCACTTTAAATCCCATTCAAAACTCCATTAAGATTTCTGACAATTTAACCAGAAAAACAGCTTAAATCAACGGTGAGTTCACTGTCTGTAATAAGAGTGGGACAGAGTCTGTGGTGAGTTCACTGTCTGTAATAACAGTGGGACAGTGTCTGTGGTGAGTTCACTGTCTGTAATAACAGTAGGACAGTGTCTGTGGTGAGTTCACTGTCTGTAATAACAGTAGGACAGTGTCTTTGGTGAGTTCACTGTCTGTAATAACAGTGGGATAGTGCAGTATCTGTGGTGAGTTCACTGTCTGTAATAACAGTGAGGCAGTGTCTGTGGTGAGTTCACTGTCTGTAATAACAGCGGGACAGTGCAGTGTCTGTGGTGAGTTCACTGTCTGTAATAACAGTGGGACAGTGTCTGTGGTGAGTTCACTGTCTGTAATAACAGTGGGACAGAGTCTGTGGTGAGTTCACTGTCTGTAATAACAGCGGGACAGTGTCTGTGGTGAGTTCACTGTCTGTAATAACAGCGGGACAGAGTCTGTGGTGAGTTCACTGTCTGTAATAACAGTAGGACAGTGTCTGTGGTGAGTTCACTGTCTGTAATAACAGTGGGACAGTGTCTGTGGTGAGTTCACTGTCTGTAATAACAGTGGGACAGTGTCTGTGGTGAGTTCACTGTCTGTAATAACAGTGGGACAGTGTCTGTGGTGAGTTCACTGTCTGTAATAACAGTGGGACAGTGCAGTGTCTGTGGTGAGTTCACTGTCTGTAATAACAGTGGGATAGTGCAGTGTCTGTGGTGAGTTCACTGTCTGTAATAACAGTGGGACAGTGTCTGTGGTGAGTTCACTGTCTGTAATAACAGTGGGACAGTGTCTGTGGTGAGTTCACTGTCTGTAATAACAGTAGGACAGTGTCTGTGTTGAGTTCACCGTCTGTAATAACAGTGGGACAGTGCAGTGTCTGTGGTGAGTTCACTGTCTGTAATAACAGTGGGATAGTGCAGTATCTGTGGTGAGTTCACTGTCTGTAATAACAGTGGGACAGTGTCTGTGGTGAGTTCACTGTCTGTAATAACAGTGGGACAGAGTCTGTGGTGAGTTCACTGTCTGTAATAACAGTGGGACAGTGTCTGTGGTGAGTTCACTGTCTGTAATAACAGTGGGACAGTGTCTGTGGTGAGTTCACTGTCTGTAATAACATATCTATCAGGCCTGTTGGAGTCTTTTGGGAGGTGTGGTTGCTATGGTTACCTCTTTGTGGGGCGGGGTCAGTGGGATGTCAGTCGGTGGGTTCAGGTGGTATCTCAGAGGTCGGACCTGCTCTCCGTTCCTGCCGTCCACTCGCTCCATCACCGGCGTTCTGACAAATAAAAACACTGATGAGTGAAAATCAATAATCTATAATCAATCAGCTGAAATCCTCTTTGGTTTACTGTCATCAGGTTGTTCAGTTTCAGGAGATTATTAATAATAAACATTTTAAACAACACAATATTAAACGATGACTAACAAATGTACACAGTCACAGGAGGGACAACGTGAGGAGTTCAGGGTCTGTGCTGCAGTGGGAAAAACCTGTTTTGGAATGGTGAGTGGAATGAAGGGGGGGGGGGCAGTGAGAACTTTATCTTCCTATTAAAAACATCACAGACTAATAAAGACATAAAGCTGCACCGCTTCAAGGACTTCATTACCCAGAATCCTCCAATCAGTGACTTTATTTATAATTTGCCAACAGAGCCCCACTGTGAACCCAGAAACCGTTCAGTACCAGGGTTCTGCTTCAGAACCGTTCGGTACCAGGGTTCTGCTTCAGAACCGTTCAGTACCAGAGTTCTGCTTCAGAACCGTTCGGTACCAAAGTTCTGCTTCAGAACCGTTCAGTTTGGCGTTTAGAAACCGACAGTTTGCGAAGGAAGGATCTGTGGATCTGTTTTGAATCCACAGGTTTATCCGCGGGTTGCTGCAGAGCTTACACACTACCTTACTTTGGTCTGTTTCCTGTGTTCCAGGTTTACTCTGGAATATAAAATGACTCCAAACGTCTGCTGTTAAAGTTGAAGGCGCTGGTTTAACACTGCTGCTACCTGCTTCGGTTGCCATGTTGTTGTTGTTGTTGTTGTTGTTGTTGTGTGGTCGAGTGCGGCCTCCGTCCGTACAACGCAAATCACACACAGGTGTTGCTGACCGCGCCCCCACTGGCCAGAGGCTTGGATCGATTCAGAGGATTTAATGAATCAATATTGAATTGGGAATAATATATTGCAATGATTGATATTATTACCCCCCCCCATACAAAATGAAATGTGAAGAAGCATTACGTCTGAACACTGAGGTTTTAAAATGCAGCTCCAACGTATTGATCTGCTGCTGATCATTAATCCGACGTATACGAGTGAGCGGCTGTAACTCCGGATCTCTGAGTTCAACTGAATCAGTGCAGCTTTAGGACGTAGACCACCTCTGCAGGTCCGATCTGAGAGGACTCTACAGGGACCGACTACAGACCAGGACCAGCAGTACCAGCAGTACCTGGAGACGTGGGCGGGGTGAAACTCCAAACCCAGCATCTCACAGTGAGTCACACTGCATTGTGGGTAAGAAAACACACCAGAATCAGACTGGAGTTTAACATGAGTCCACAGTTAGCTTTAATTAGCATCAACAGCTAATAAATGGATTATTAACACATTTAATGAAGTTTTAACATCTTAAAAATATAAATATTTATTCATTAGTTATTATTAATATTAAATATATTATGTCAACAACTTTATAAACTGTCGCTAATGCTACGGTTAATGCTATATCCGTTATTACACGCTGTAATATGTTATTAAACATTAATAAAGGCTTTATCACACACACACACACAAAGACACACACACACACACACACACACACACACACACACACACACACACACACACACACACACACACACACACACACACACACACACACACAGACACTCACACACACACACACACACACACACACACACACACACACACACACACACACACACACACACACACACACACACACACACACACACACACACACACACACACACACACACAGACACACAGACACACACACAGACACACACACACACACACACACACACACACACACACACACACACACACACACACACACACACACACACACACACACACACACACACACACACACACACACACACACAGACACTCACACACACACACACACACACACACACACACACACACACACACACACACACACTCACACACACACACACACACTCACACACACACACACACACACACACACACACTCACACACACACACACACACACACACACACACACACACTCACACACACACACACACACACACACACACACACACACACACACACACACACACACACACACACACTCACACACACTCACACACACACACACACACACACACACACTCACACACACACACACACACACACACACACACACACACACACACACACACACACACACAGACTCACACACAGACACACAGACACACACACAGACACTCACACACACACACACACACACACACAGACACTCACACACACACACACACACACACACACACACACACACACACACACACACACACACACACTCACACACACTCACACACACACACACACACTCACACACACTCACACACACACACACACACTCACACACACTCACACACACACACACACACACACACTCACACACACTCACACACACACACACACACACACACACACACACACACACACACACACACACACACACACACACACTCACACACACTCACACACACACACACACACTCACACACTCACACACACACACACACACACACACACACACACTCACACACACACACACACACACACACACACACACACACACTCACACACACACACTCACACACACTCTCACACACACACACACACACACACACACACACACACACTCACACACACACACACACACACACACACACACACACACACACACACACACACACACACACACACACACACACACACTCACACACAGACACACTCACACACAGACACACACACACACACACACACACACACACACACACACACACACACACACACACACACTCACACACACACACACACACACACACACACTCACACACTCACACACACACACACACACACACACACACACACACACACACACACACACACAGAGTTACCGGTTGTGCTGTCGGGTTTTGTGAAACGGGCTGTTGGGTCCCACACAGAGGAGACGGAAACGAGGGAAGCGCAGAGCGAGGAAGAGGAGGACGACAGGCACGATGAAGAGGAAGATGACGAGCAGAGCCACTCGGACCGGGTCGGACTCTGAACAGAGAGGGGGGGGGGATTAACCAGCGTCACACAGAGGATGGACGGAGGCGGCAGCGTTTGTCGGTGTGCGGTACCTCGAGTGGTTTTGGCCGGTCCGCTGTCCACGCTGCCTCCGTGACCGGAGTACCTGCAGTCGGGAGGAGCCCAGCCCACCTCACAGTGACAGTTCTTGTTACTGTTACACACCTGGAACACAAACACAGCCCGTCAGAAAGCCCACACTGCTGCAACAGCAGCAACGATCATACTAATAAAGTCGCCCTCCGCTCACCCCGTGACCGTTACACTTCCTGCGGCAGTCCTCCACGCCGAACACCGACATGTCCTGACACTTCTGGTTCAAACAGGCCTGAAACACAAAACATATCTTTAATCTTTAACTGTTGATAAAACAGAATGTTTACAGGATCTGGATGATCAGACTCAGCTCAGGTTGTGGTTTAACTCCACACTCTGTTTTTATATTGGATTTTATTCATGAGAACTGTTGTGTGTTCTCTCCGTCGGCCTGCGGGGGGCGCTCGCTGACCTTGCCGGGGCCGCAGGCGGTGCCCTGGGCCACGGTGGCGGGGTCTGACACATCGTCCCCCAGGTGGAAGAAGGTCCCTCTGCAGACCAGGTCGCTGTGGTTGAAGCGGACCGTGGTGGTGAGGATCTCTGCGTTGGTGCCCAGCAGGGGGCGCTCCCTCCCTCCCTGACACTGGATCCTACCGCAGTACACGTCACTGCAACAGGAAGTGATGTCATTACAGTGGGACAGCTTTCAGCACATGCGAGTGACATCACAGGATTTACTAGGGATGGGAATTGATAAGAATTTAATGATTCCGATTCCTTATCGATTCTCATTGGGTGAGGGAATAAGTACAAATGTGTTTGTATTAACTGGCTTTAATATCTGATCAGAGGACACAGCACAGACTATACACAAACAATGTGCAGCAACATCAGAACAAACCTAACAGTAGGTGAGCCATAGCCTCGGGCAGTGTTTCTCAACCAGTATGCAATGGCACGCTAGAGTGTGCCTCAAAAGATTATCAAGAGTGCTTTAGGATTAGGAAATTGTTAATTTTCACATTAATTGGTTCAGACAAAAAATAAAGGTTTGGCTTTTTAAGCCCAACTTCCATTATGTGCCATAAAAACTAAAAACACAGAGTGAAATAGGGTGGCCATTTCCTTCACATCCAAAAGGAGGACACTTTACATACACAGGGACACACAAGCAGATATTTGTTTGGTATGATCCGGTTTTAAATGTTAATGTTTTTCCAGCAGATTACATAAAGGTGCATACACATACACATAGCTAATAATAAATATACAAGATACAGCTCATGACAACGTGCCCTTCAGATTACACAGGTCTAATAAACATCATACAGAAACTGTTCTTAATGTTTTTATCTGGATGGATAAAGGCTAACGTTCTCTGTCACTGAGAGCTTGATTGACAGCCTGGTGGTAACTTAGCAACTGTGGTGAGCTCCTGTTGGCTAATCAACACATGGCTCATTAGAATATTTAAATTAGCCATGTGATAGGTCAGGACACGAAAATGTAACCAATGAAATTACTTATTTTTAGCCAATAAGTATAATAATTTTTGTGCAGAAAAATGATGATGTCATTTAAAGTGACCTTCGGCATTAATAACAGATGGCGTCCTGTTAGCTCCGCTGTCTCTAGGTAGTAGGGTATCAAACACGCGACAGTCCTGCAAATGAATTGATGCTGTGTGGCCAAATGTTTCTGCATATTGGAGGTAGTTCCCCCTTTGACCAAATGGAAACTTAAAACTATTTCTTTTTTCGTAAATATAACCGAACTTTAGAGCGCTTCTGCCTCGACGCCATGTTCGCTGTGTTTGCAACGAGCGGAATCGTTAAGCGGACGCGCTAACGGTTCCAAGGAATCTATTCACTGGGCACCGGTTCTGAAGAAGAACCAGTTCTCGATTCCCATCACCAGGATTTATACAAAAAGATACAATAATCTCTTTACTGACTGTGTACTGACTGTATACTGACTGTTTACTGACTGTTGACTGACTGTGTACTGACTGTTGACTGTGTACTGACTGTTTACTGACTGTTTACTGACTGTCTACTGACTGTGTACTGACTGTTGACTGACTGTGTACTGACTGTTGACTGTGTACTGACTGTGTACTGACTGTTGACTGACTGTGTACTGACTGTTGACTGACTGTTAACTGACTGTGTACTGACTGTTGACTGACTGTTGACTGTGTACTGAGTGTTGACTGACTGTTGACTGTGTACTGACTGTTTACTGACTGTTGACTGACTGTTTACTGACTGTTGACTGTGTACTGACTGTTTACTGACTGTTTACTGACTGTTGACTGACTGTTGACTGTGTACTGACTGTTTACTGACTGTGTACTGACTGTGTACTGACTGTTTACTGACTGTTGACTGACTGTTGACTGTGTACTGACTGTTGACTGACTGTTGACTGTGTACTGACTGTTGACTGACTGTGTACTGACTGTTAACTGTGTACTGACTGTTAACTGACTGTTTACTGACTGTGTACTGACTGTTGACTGTGTACTGACTGTTGACTGACTGTTTACTGACTGTTTACTGACTGTGTACTGACTGTTGACTGACTGTTGACTGTGTACTGACTGTGTACTTACTGTTGACTGTGTACTGACTGTTGACTGACTGTTTACTGACTGTGTACTGACTGTTGACTGACTGTTGACTGTGTACTGACTGTTTACTAACTGTGTACTGACTGTGTACTGACTGTTGACTGACTGTTGACTGTGTACTGACTGTTGACTGACTGTGTACTGACTGTTGACTGTGTACTGACTGTTGACTGACTGTTGACTGTGTACTGACTGTTGACTGACTGTTGACTGACTGTTGACTGTGTACTGACTGTTGACTGTGTACTGACTGTTAACTGACTGTTTACTGACTGTGTACTGACTGTTGACTGACTGTTGACTGTGTACTGACTGTTGACTGACTGTTGACTGTGTACTGACTGTTGACTGACTGTTGACTGTTTACTGACTGTGTACTGACTGTGTACTGACTGTTGACTGACTGTTGACTGTGTACTGACTGTTGACTGACTGTTTACTGACTGTGTACTGACTGTGTACTGACTGTTGACTGTGTACTGACTGTTTACTGACTGTTTACTGACTGTTTACTGACTGTGTACTGACTGTGTACTGACTGTTTACTGACTGTTGACTGTTGACTGACTGTTGACTGACTGTATACTCACGAGTTTCCACAGGGGATGTAGGATCCGTTGGTCTGCTGACCACAGTTTCCATATTTGTTTCCCTGTTTGTTGACTGAAGAGAAACAGACAGCTGGAGCACTGGTGGCGTCTGAAGAGAGAGACAGTGAGACAGACAGTGAGACAGGCAGGGAGACAGGCAGGGAGACACAGAGACAGACAGTCTTCAGTCTGTATATGGATGATCTGTACAGACTGTGGATGTGTGGGGTGATCCCTGCTGTTAACTGCCCCCTGGTGGTGCAGTTAGAGTGAAGTATAAAATAAAATTAGCCTTTCATGACTTATTTACAACCTGTTTTGTGCTTTTGTTTTGAAAATAGAAACTCAGATTTTATTTGATGTCCTTGTAAAAAAGATGTTTTTCTGGGAGTTTTGTGTGTTTAGGATTATCTGTAAAATAACTGGTTTTATCAGTGGAGTCTGGTGGGCCGTAGTGCCACTGGTTGGTGTTCTGGTGCGACTGCTTGTGTTGGTTCAGTATGAACTGGTGTCTTACTGGGTCCCCACAGCATCTGGCACTGGGTGTGCATGCTGGCGCAGACTCCTCCGTAGCAGAAGGACGCTCCGTCCTCGCAGGGCTCTCCGTTCTGCAGGAAGACGTTGGGCGGGCAGTAAGCGGAGGAGCCGGTGCAGAACTCGGGGAGGTCGCACTCTCCGAGCGGCTCACGACACACTGAACCCGCCGCCCGCAACTGAGGAGGGAGGGAGACATTCAGACAGAGTCCGACAGAAACATGAACATTACCTGTGTGTCTGACCTCTGACCTTGCAGTCGTGGCAGCAGATGCCGTCAGAGGAGCACTGAGCTCCAGGAACCAGCTGACAGGTGGAGGCGTTACAGCAGGGGTCCTCACACTCCTGACCAATCAGAGCACAGCAGCACATCAGCAGAACAGCTCGTAGACATGTGACCTTAAAGATTATTTCATTCTACTAATGCCTGAAATAACAGACAGACAGGTGTACAGGTAGGCAGACAGACAGGTGAGTACCTCCAGCAGGCCGCAGTCACACTCCTCTCCTTTCTCCACGTACAGGTTTCCACAGCGAGGTCCCCCCAGCAGGCGGTCCGGCTGCGGTACGTTGAACAGACACATCCCGCCGCCGTGCAGCAGGCTGACGGACAGATCTGCAGCGCTGCAGCTGCTGAACTGCTGACCCGGCATGAACCTGAGGGTCAAAGGTCACAGGTGGACAGTTTTATCTGCCTCGCTCTTAAAACCTCTAACGCCACCGGCTGTTTCCAGGATCATCGAAACGCTCGCTTGTAAACTCTTCACCTGATCAGTACTGAGCATGTGCAGCTCTCAACGGAGACGAGAGGGAATCCTCAACTACTTCCATCATCACTCTCTGGCTGCATATGCTAACTGTACGAGCTGTTATTAGCTAGTTAGCAGTCCTAAGAGCCGGAAGGACAGAGGGAGTTTACACATTACTAGCGTAGCAGCAGAGGAACCCAGCGGGGAATACTGCCAGGGAGTGGGGCCCGAATGAGCCACAGAACCAGAGCGGGGGAGAGTAGTCAGTAACTGTTAACATTATCCATCATTCATCGTATCAATCAGTCAGCCAGGATTTGTTTTAGTGAAGTTGGGAGTTAGTTTGGCTTTATCTTCATATGCATTTTTGGTGCCAAAAGAAGAAGAAAAGTTTGGCCTCTATATAAAGCACTGACCTATGCCCCGTATCTACAACATTGTAAATGTTCAATCTCCTTGCTGGTTGTTCTGACACACTCAGAATCATTACCGCTTTCTGTTAGAGTATAGAGAATTAAATTATTAAATTAATAACAGAAACGACGAATCAACTAGGATGATTCTGTTCAGGAGTTTACCTGTAGACCTGTATCTGGAGCCTGTTTCTGTTCAGGAGTTTACCTGTAGACCTGTATCTGGAGCCTGATTCTGTTCAGGAGTTTACCTGTAGACCTGTATCTGGAGCCTGATTCTGTTCAGGAGTTTACCTGTAGACCTGTATCTGGAGCCTGTTTCTGTTCAGGAGTTTACCTGTAGACCTGTATCTGGAGCCTGATTCTGTTCAGGAGTTTACCTGTAGACCTGTATCTGGAGCCTGTTTCTGTTCAGGAGTTTACCTGTAGACCTGTATCTGGAGCCTGATTCTGTTCAGGAGTTTACCTGTAGACCTGTATCTGGAGCCTGATTCTGTTCAGGAGTTTACCTGTAGACCTGTATGTGGAGCCTGATTCTGTTCAGGAGTTTACCTGTAGACCTGTATCTGGAGCCTGTTTCTGTTCAGGAGTTTACCTGTAGACCTGTATGTGGAGCCTGATTCTGTTCAGGAGTTTACCTGTAGACCTGTATCTGGAGCCTGATTCTGTTCAGGAGTTTACCTGTAGACCTGTATCTGGAGCCTGTTTCTGTTTCTGGACTTTGGAGTCCTGCCTGCTCCTTATTGGATTTATTTCCTTCCTGTCGACTGCCTTCTGGTTCTGACCTTTGCATGCCTCACTCTCCCGTAAGCCGTTGTGTCTCCATCTCAATTAAATCACTGAACTGCCTGTACGGAAGCCCTGGAGGGAAATATTATTTGTGATGATCATGTTTTTATTTTATATGCCTGTAAAACCAGGTGAAACAAATATTTCAAATGTATATATTTTTTTCATTTTCATAAGAAAAAAAAAATAATTTTAATAAATATTTATTATCATAAATATATATTTAAATATCAAGGTGGGAAAATGTAAACTTATTTATACTTTTATATATTAAATAAAAATTAAATTAAAAAAAATTATCATGAGAAAAAAATCACTTACTTTTAAGGATTAAAAAAATGTAAAACAAAAATTAAAAAAGAAGAATAAAACACTCACTTGCCTTTCCAGGGCTTCCGTACTTGGTCCACTTTGTACTATATCACTACATTAGATCTCACTCTTCATCTCCTTTATATCATACTATAATGTTCCTTCTTTATATTTTTATATTTGATTTATTATTCTAGCTTTGTAAAACTTCTATTATTTCTTTCTTTTACTTTCTAAACTTAAAGTTATTTCTGCTGCAACCGGATTTCCCTGCTGAGGATCAGCAAAGGTTTATCTTGTCTTATCTGAGTACTTTTACGTCTTCTAGCAGTGAACCGATCCGAGGACTCGGCTGCAACCAGGTTACCTTTACTGTCATTATATAATATCATTATAATGTTCTGGTACCGACCCGGTGGAGGGCTCCATGATGCATCCTCCAAGCCGCGCTTCGTTCTGACAGGAGCAGCGGCGCTCGGCGGTGTCGTGACTCATCCCCAGGTTGTGACCGAGCTCATGAGCAACAGTGGAGGCCACGCCCAACACGCTGACCAGGTGGTCCTGAGAGAGAGAGAGAGAGAGAGAGAGAGAGAGAGAGACAGGTTTCAGACTGGCTCACTTCCTGTCAGATAGACTCAAAGGTCCAGTGTGTAACAGTGAGCAGGATCTGTTGTCAGAGATTGAATATAGTATTCATAAGGTCCGATATGTATCCAGATACGTGGGCTACGATACGATCAATACATGGTAATATGGAACAATTCAATACGATGCACTCTGATACAGTTCTTAACATTTGTTTAATTCCATTCTACATTAAAATAAGCTGCTAATCACATATTTTATAAAATACCAGGAATGTATTTTATTTATTTATTTTTGTTTTATGTGTTTGTTGTTTTTCCAGAAGACAAACTTCCTGCAGTGATTAATTCAGTTTTATTTGTATCGGACCAATTCATAACAGAAGTTATCTCAGGACACTTTTCAAATAGAGCAGGTCTAGACTGAACTCTTTAAAACATTATTTACAGAGACCCAACAGTACCACCATGAGCAAGACCTTGGAGACAAGGGCAAGGAAACACTGCCTGTTAAAAGGCAGAAACCTAGGACAGATCCTTCAGCTCTAGGTGGGTGGTCGTCTGTCTCAACCAGTTGGAGCTCAGCTGGCTGGAAATAATTTTTTTTAATATCTGCGTGTTCTTGCTTGTGCTAGCTGTGTTAGCATCCACACATGCGAGGTGTCACCAGGTGAGAGTTAAGATCTGTCCTGTTACTGCTGTCTGACTTTCCTTCCTTCTTATTGAATCCAAAAAAATGTTTTTGTCTTAAACAACCAGTTAAAGCTCCAGTGTAACATTACTGTAATATAATATCCATAGTTATGTTTCATGAGTGTTTAATCAGCTGATAATAAGAACCATTGTGTGTTTGTTACCTTACAATGAGACGTTTTTATCTACAGAGGGAGCGGATCCTCTTCTGGCGGAGTCCGCCATGTTCCTACAGTGGCCCAGAAGGGACAAACCAAACTCTGGATGTAGTTGGGGGCAGTTCACAGCCACTGTAGTTTCTCCCGCACACCTCACAGCCCGCTCTCATTCCCAGGTGTATTCAGTTAGTTGCAATCTGCCACTTTACCACTAGATGGCGCTACAACCTCCACACAGCTCCTTTAGAAATAAAGACTCACCACGTTGACGCCACCCGACCGGTCTCTGGAGCACATGGACGACTGAGACGCCATCCCCACCGTGGTGCCGTCGAACGAGCCGCCCCTGTGAAATCAAAACGAACCCGTGACGATGGCGGCGGATCACAATCACAAGCTGTTACTGAGTTACACGCCGCCGCGGCTCCTACATGACGAGCTGGGCGTTGTCGTGGCGAAGGCGTGGCAGCAGCTCTCTGGTTCTCCACTCAAGAAAGTTGTTGAGGGTGTCGGTGGGACTCTTCTCCACCTGGATCTTATCACGGTCGCTCCAGATCTCCAGACCGGTCAGTGCGACCCGAACGTTCAGAGGACGGTAGAACTGAAACAGACAGAAGAGAAGCGGCTCGGTTCTTCTTCTACGGCAGATTTAAAGTGGCTCACTGTGGCAGGGAGGTCAGAGGTTGCGGCTCTCACCCAGTCCACCTGGTTGGCCACGTCCAGCATGCGGTAGATGATGGTCTTATTGTTCTTCTGGTAGTTCAGAAACTGAAAAACATTAAATTACACAGAGACTCTTTAATTTAGTGCTGCCACCTGGTGTCAGACAGACATTACTGCAGGAAGGTTTCAAACTTTATTTTTATATAATAATCATTTCATGTAGATCGACTCAAATTAACACTGAACACAATCTGTCAGCAGTCCAGGTGCATTGTGGGTAACGTAGGCACCAGGTTTTAGCAAAGAAGAGTTCATTTTGTTTTCTTATCTTCTCAGTGTGACACTAAGAAACCAATCAGCAGGTTAATCAATAAAGGAAACACACTGACCTCCTGGTGATCGGCCACAAGCACCAGTTCGATGTACTTGGTCTCCGACAGGATGTCCCTCTTCTTCTGCAGCAAACAGAGGTCAGAGGTCAACAGAATCAGCAGGAAGTACTACAGTACCCATGAGCCTCAGCTCCTGTTGCTATGGAGACCTGTTCTGTCTTACCCTGTGTGTGTGCGCGGTGCTGTGGATCGGGGGGACGGCGGTGTGAGAGACCCCGCAGCCTCCAGCACTGTCACCCTCCAGAGGGCTGGTGGAGAACAGCAGGTGAACTCCTCCTTCTTCATCTCCTCTTCCTCCTCCTCCTCCTCCGCTCCCTCCGCTCCCGTCTCCTCCACTCCCCCCTCCTGCCCCGCCCTCCTCCTCCCCCCCAGGGTGGCGGTCGTCCTCCTGAGGCTGCAGCTCAAAGCTCAGGGTGGAGTTGATGGCGATGACGCCGCTGCATGAAGAAACAGGATATCACTCAGCCAGAGGTGACCAGGTCCTGAGTCCTAAACCAGGTCCTGAGTCCTAAACCATGTCCCGAGTCCTAAACCAGGTCCCGAGTCCTAAACCAGGTCCCGAGTCCTAAACCAGGTCCCGAGTCCTAAACCAGGTCCCGAGTCCTAAACCAGGTCCCAAGTCCTAACCAGCAGATCATCATCTAGTTTTAGATAATAACCGCACAGCTACAGCCTTCATGAAGAGGCACTTTAACAAGCTGTTAATTGGTCACTAACACCTGAAGGTGGAGGTCAGTGGTTCCCAACCCCCACTAGGGGTCGCCAAATCTCTGAACTTGGTTCACTTTCTTAAAGAAAATTAAAGTGTCTAATAGAACAATGAGAAGAAAACAGTGAATCTGAAGCCTAATACGTCCGTATGATTGTTGATCATTTTATGATTGAAATGATAAACATATACATAATACAGAGAATAATAATAAAAGTTCCCTTAACAGGAAATAATCTGCTCAGAATTCATCCAAATCTCTGGTTTTACACAAACTTCCTTTAGTTACTGAGTTCACTGTTTGTGTTCATTGTTCAGTTTATAATATAAAATAAAATATCCATAAAATATGTGAGTGAGTAGTAAGGTTATTGTTACTCCTCAGTAACCATGTGTTTGATTATTCATGTAAAGATTACTATAATAACTATCATAATGCAGTGACACACATATTCACTGAAGACAGAACCAAACTAAAGCTCGTTAAACAAGGTCATTAATCACACACAGTTTTTATTTATAGTCCGGAGAACAAAGCTGAACTAAAGTGTGTGTTCTCATTGGATACGCTCTCATTAATCCGACCTGATGAATAAACACGTTGATAATCCTGTGGACAGAGGTCTCTGTGTCCCCGCTCTGAACCCCACAAACTGGACCTGGTTCTGATCACGTGAGCTGATAAACGAACCCACTGATCCTCCTGCTGCAGGTCACACTCCGCGCTGCAGGAGGTCAGAGGTCACTTGCACTGATCCGGATCAGGTTTAACCTGCGGAGGAACGCTGTTTTCTGCTGAGGTCGACCCACAAACACAAAGACCTGAAACACAGTAAATCCTGGAGCAACCGGATTGGAGGTTTTTAGGTTTAACAGATTTATGTTCCTTCGACTGTTGTTGGAGATGAAAATGTTTTTCTCTCACTTTGAATACGTCACAAGAACGACTCGACACAACAAATCCTTTCAGAAACACATCATTTAAAACCCAGTGGTACAGTAGAAACAGCACACTGTGATTATTACCACAGATATATATACAGCACATTATAATGCAGTTTGATTCATTAACCTTCAGTAAACTCGCTGTATCTCCTGTATGTTTTATATTCTACTGAATGAACACAGGAAGTTGGTGGAAACCAGAGATTTGATTCATTCCTGTGAATATTGATCAGAGATGAGTTCTTCTGTATTTTTAACAATCAGACAGACTTAATATTCTTCTTCTCTGACAGATTCACTGACGTTGGACTGTTGTCTTCAGGGTTCACAGTCTTTATAAGAAATCTATTTCCAGGAGTGACATACAGGACAGCACTCGCTCACAGTCATATCATCTATCGGTAGGTCTCCCCTTTTATTCCTCCTTGTTCAATGATGCAGATTAAAGCTGATATGTATCACGATTCAAGGCGATTTAAAGTATCTACATACATACGCAGGTTGGAATTGAACCCGAGCCGCGGCAGTAAGGACTACAGACGCTCTACCAGCTGAGCTACCGTACAAATTATTATTCTGTTTTTTAAAGATGAAAAACTAAATTAGAAATGTACCGTGAAACTTCCAATAAAAGCAGTGTCCCTAATAGACGCAGGTCTCTTTTAAAAGCCTGGTGTGGCAACACGTTTTGCCAAATAAACGTCTCCAATAGAGGCCTGGTCTGGATTTTATAGAAATTATCTTGATGTATAAAACCTCTTAAAATCCACCGGGTCGCCTGCTTGAGCGAGTTTTAAGTCGTTTCAATCTCCTACACAAATATAAATGTTTAAACTTCTGTCAGTATGTACATAATGAACATCATTAGATCAGTTAGATTCTCCACAATTCAATCGTTCACTATATTTTACGAAAACTATAGACACCAAAGTATAAAGTTAATTCATTCTCAATTACCGGTAACACGGTAAACAAGAGAGACGGAAAAAAACCTCTGAAGCATGATAATCATCATGTTAGTTGTCAAATTTGCTGAACAAAACTCAAGAGAAGCAGAAGTTAGAGTTTAGTTTAGTTTAGTTTTGTGCTAAAGGAATTAAAGGCCTGTCCCAAATAAAGGCCTGTCCCAAATAGAGGCCTGTCCCCAATAAAGGCAGGGGGAGTTCAGTGAGTTCAGGGCTATTATTAGAAGTTTTACGGTAATTATCATAAGGAAACAGCTTCCGTATAAAAACTGACCAAAAGTTTTAAATGATGAATATTTGATGACAGAATGATCAATAAATAAATCAATAACATTGATCAGAGGGTGTTGTACTGACCGCAGTCCGGAGCAGGTGCTCAGAGCCACTCTGGACTGAGGGAAGCCTCGAACGCTGCCGTGGTAATAACAGTGAGTCTGCACACAAACACACATCTGTTCAAACATCTGTCACAGCTGGAAGCAGACACAGGCGGCGGTGCGTTCACTGACTCACCACAGGGTCGGCTCGCACGGACACCCCGGTGCCGTTGGGCAGGTAGTAGAAGACGTTGGGCGGTTTGGGCAGCAGGTCGCTGCGGAGAGAGAGACAAACACGTCACATCACACACTTTATATTCCTGTTGCGTTCAATGTCACACTGGGAATCAGACTCACTGGTTCTTCTCCAGGTCCAGCAGGAAGAGTCGTCCGGCGACCTCCAGTCCACACTGCAGCCGGTCGGGGTGACCGTCCTGGAAACACACAGAACTAATAATTGAATATGTGAGTAATCTACGACTGTCAGGGCCAGACTAAGATAATTTTTTTTGGGGGGGGGAAATTACGAGAATAAAGTCGTAATGTTACAAGATGAAACATAAAAAATGTTTATTCTCGTAATTTCCCCCCAAAAAAAACCGTCGTAGTAATCGGACCAGTGTGGAGGATTTAGTTGTTTTGTCCGTTCGAGGCTACCGTACAAACATGGCAGAGATATCAATGTGTGTTTTCTGTCTGTGTGTTCAGTTTTAAACAAACAGGATTCCTTCAGTGTTCATGGTTCAGGAGGTTTCTACCGATTATCCACAGAGGTCTCCTCCTCTCCAACACAAACAGACCCGCTGATTAAAACCCACTGAATAAAGCAGTTCCACCTTAAACACACTGAATAAAGCAGTTCCACCTTAAACACACTGAATAAAGCAGTTCCACCTTAACAATCACTGCTTCTCCCACGCTGTTGGACAGACAAAGGACGTCCCGGAGGGGCTGCGAGCCGAGCTGCTGCTAACGTTAGCTCAGCTTGTTTCTCTGATAACTTAAGATCCAGACGTCCGATGACTAAAATCCTTCATCCGGTTCAAATCTAGAGTTAAAAAGCACCAAGATCTAAACAGTGGATGGTAACAATGTGGCTTCAGACTGGAAGTATTGGGAATCTGCTAGTTTGTTGTTGGGAGTTTCCGTCTGACTGACACCTGCCTGGGAAGCTGTGCTAGCGGTTTTTTATGTGAATAAATGTGTTGATTCAAAAGTTGTGTCTGCAAACGTCTCTTCGACTCTTGTTACCATATTTGAGGCTTTCATACATTTAATGTGGCAGCTAAAGTCTTTCTGAGGCCCTGAGGAGCTCCATGTGGACCGGGTCTTTGTGTCTTTGTGGGTCAGCGGGACCTCAATGATCCAGGAAATCAGGATCTCCGTCCACACCTCTGCAGTCCGAACCCGGTTTTTATTCCCTTCCTCTTTCTGAGTGCATCCTTTCTCCAATCAGAGCTTCCTGCCCGTTAATGGAGCTGCTCTTTGAAGGAGGAGACCCTTCCTGTCCAACGCCTCCTCGCTTTCTCCTCGCCACTCGGCAGGAAGTCAGGGTGTGTGTGTGTGTGTGTGTGTGCTTCCTTTAAACATCCTCCACGTTTCTTTCACACACAAACTTCAAACATATGAAAGATTTTAACAGTTCAAGACAAAGTTTATGAGCAAACAGTTCATGCCTCATGAACAACGGAGAAAGTTTCTGACTTACACTGCAGCTAAAACTGATAATCAATAATCAATCAATGTGTATTAACTGTGTATTAGTGTGTCTGTTTGTGTTCAGTGTTTGATATTATATATATATTATATATATTCAGGGTGGACTGTTCCTTTGAAGGAGTTCCCCTCTGGGGGCTGTTGGTTTGCTCCACCCTCTGTACTTTGTCCTGGGGCAGGTCGAACCATTGTGCAGCAGGATGGGTGGGGGGACGGCGACAGCTGAGTCATGTTGAGGTCAGCTGGGTGGGTCCAACTGAAGCTGGAGGGGGTTTTCTTATATTTTCTGACCTTCTATCGACCAGATGAATCATTGATTAATTATAACTGTCAGATCAATAATGATTATTACATAAGTTTATTGAGATATTTTTAATCAATTCTGTCTGTATTATGTATTTATATCATTGATCACCAGAATACACTGTATCTTTATGGATTATTGATCAGTATACACTGTATCTTTATTGATTATTGATCAGTATACACTGTATCTTTATGGATGATATTGATCAGTATACACTGTATCTTTATGGATTATTGATCAGTATACACTGTATCTGTATGGATTATTGATCAGTATACACTGTGTCTTTATGGATGATATTGATCAGTATACACTGTATCTTTATGGATGATATTGATCAGTGTACACTGTATCTTTATGGATGATATTGATCAGTATACACTGTATCTTTATGGATGATATTGATCAGTATACACTGTATCTTTATGGATGATATTGATCAGTATACACTGTATCTTTATGGATGATATTGATCCTGTATTGACAGTCAGACTGTGGACATATGACGGCCTTTAGCTCGTGTTTCTAGAGTTACGTGTTGTTACGAACACGTTAGGAATTGTTAAAATGTGATATTTCTTAAAGGGAGTTTGGTGCAGGGAGCTTTTAGTTGGATTCAAACTGCTGATATGGATCATTGTTAACGTTTAGTCTCCACTACAGAAACACTAGCTAACTGCTGAAGGCTGATCAGGTTGATTGATGCTTTAATAATGGGAGTATTGATTACTGATTATCAGTTAATTGGACTTCTTTTCTAATAACTGACTTTCCTAATTAAACACAATGTTCTTAATAACTCCTGTTTGTTTAATTAGTGTTTGGCCTCCTGTTGCTGACCAGTCACATTAGAGACTTAAAGATTACAGACAGGAAGTAGCTCTCTCTCTCTCTCTCTCTCTGTGTTTTCCTCACACCTCTCTCTCTGTCTCTCGCCCACTTTCACCATCTGTTAACACCCTCTCTCTCCCTCCTCCTCCACTACATGTTGCTCTCTCTCTCTGTACGGTGAGGTCATGTCTGACGCTGGGCGAGGCTCAGAGCCGTAGACCACAACAGAGGAAGAGAAGAGTTAGAAAAAGAGGAAGAGAGTTTGTTACTGCTGCTTCCTCCAGATGTGACACAATCTGAGGATAAACATCATCTTGTCTCCGTCAGTGTTTGATTTAGCTTTATTTAGTTCAACACACCCACTATATCTTTCAGTTATCTGGCTTCACGGCCGCAATGCCCCGAAAACAAACAGCTCCTCGTTAGACTACAGGAGACGCAGCGAATCAACTCAGTTTCCCAGAGTCTGATCACCCTGGCAACCAACAGAAGACGCTCAGAAAGCTAACGTTAGCGTCAACGAGATCTGAGCATCTCGTTAGCATGGCAGCTAACACAGTCGGTCCCTGGCTGCTCTACATCACCGCTGTCCTCGTTTCCTCCGGCTGGCTGGGTGGAGTCAGGGTGTGTGTGTGCGGACAGGAAATGATCTCAGAGCTTCTGTCAGCTGCACAGGAAGTACCCCCCCCCCAGAGTTCCTGCAGGAAGCTCCTGGTGAAAACTGTCAACGCTCCAACTTCCTCTCTCTGTCTCGTTCCACAGAAACACACGACTGACTGCCTCCGTCTGACGGTCCTCGCTGCCAGCTGCTGTCCACATCAGGGTCCTGCTGGGTCCAGTTGGGTCCAGTTGGGTCCAGTTGGGTCCTGCTGGGTCCTGTTGGGTCCAGTTGGGTCCAGTTGGGTTCAGTTGGGTCCAGTTGGGTCCTGTTGGGTCCTGTAGGGTCCAGTTGGGTCCAGTTGGGTTCAGTTGGGTCCAGTTGGGTCCAGTTGGGTCCTGCTGGGTCCTGTTGGGTCCAGTTGGGTTCAGTTGGGTCCTGTTTGGTTCAGTTGGGTCCTGTTGGGTCCTGTAGGGTCCAGTTGGGTTCAGTTGGGTTCAGTTGGGTTCAGTTGGTTCCTGCTGGGTCCTGTTGGGTCCAGTTGGGTTCAGTTGGGTCCTGTTTGGTTCAGTTGGGTCCTGCTGGGTCCAGTTGGGTCCTGTTGGGTCCAGTTGGGTCCAGTTGGGTCCAGTTGGGTTCAGTTGGTTCCTGCTGGGTCCTGTTGGGTCCAGTTGGGTCCAGTTGGGTCCAGTTGGGTTCAGTTGGGTCCAGTTGGGTTCAGTTGGGTCCAGTTGGGTCCAGTTGGGTTCAGGTACTTTGGTACTTTACTCATAACAGAAATATGATTGAAGTTGTAAAATATAAACTGCTCTCTCTACCGCAGTGATCGTAGACTGTGAACTACGAACCAAACTAATTCTGATTCTGTGACCTCCGTCCGACCGCTCTGCTCGCCGTCCTCCATTACTCCTCGTTGTCACGTACAATGTTAGAAACTGCCCGAGCACCACTTCCTGTACCATCGGCGACAAGGTCCAACAGTCAACTCCCACCCGTCCCAAACATCCAGTGAACAAACAAACCAGATTGAGCTCAGACCACTGACACCAGTTAGAGACCAGTAATAAAAACTCACCACCAACAGTTATAAACCAGTTATACACCAGTTATAAACCAGTGATAAACCATTAAAAAACCCATTAATAAACCAGTTATAAACTATAATACACCAATAACAACCAGTAATAACAGTTATAAACAGTAATACACCAGTTATAAACCAGTAATAAACAGTAATAAACCAGTTATAAACCAGTTATAAATCATTAATAAACCAGTAATAAACCAGTTATAAACCAGTAATAAACCAATAATAAACCAGTAACCAACAGCTTTTATCCCAGTGACCTTTGACCTGTTGGAGGTTCTGACCTGCAGAGCTTCAGTGAGGCTCCTCCTCTTTCCGTCCACCAAGAAGAACGGACGGGTTTTCTCCAGCAGGGGGCGCCGGCGCCGGTCCACACCTGAGGACACAAACTGGGTGAACTGGGAGCGATACGTCTGTATGCTAACATTAGAGCTAACTGAGTGTGTAGCTAACGGCCTGTAGTTAGTTATTATTATATTATATTATATTCTATATTATATTATATTATTATATTATATTATTATATTATATATTATATTATTTTATATATTATTATATTATATATTATATTATATATTATATTATGTTATATTATATATTATATTATATATTATATTATTATATATACTATTATATATTATATTATTATATATTATATAATATTATATATTATATTATTATATTATTATATTATATTATTATATTTTATTATTATATATTAAATTATTATATATTATTATTATATATTATATTAAAAATTATATATTATATATTATATATTATATTATTATATATTATTATTATATATTATATTATTATATATTATATATTATATTATTATATATTATATTATATATTATATTATTATATATATTATTATATATTATATTATTATATATATATTATATATTATTATATATTATTATTATATTATATATTATATTATTATATATATTATTATATATTATATTATTATATATTATATTATTATATTATATATTATATATTATAATTTATATAAAGGCTTTAAACTGGTTTCTAAATCCTGAAAATGTTTATTATTTTAAATTATTGAAATAATCAGATTAGTCAGTTACCATGGCAAGGAGCCAAGCATTCAATGGGGTCAAAGGTCACACACACTTTATGTGTCACCTCCTCCAGCAGGAGCAGATCAATCAATGATTATAGATTTAATATCGATTATACTGGATATTATTATTTAATAATAAAATTAATTTAAAAAACTTCCGTACTTTGATGATTAGTTCACAATGATGTCATCTACCGTCAGTCCGTTAACGTTACCTGTCCCGGTGGCGGTCCGGCCGTCGGTCCCGTCCGTCAGTCCGTCCGCAGCCAGAACCGCTCGGTCCGGCGGTGCGTTCAGGGTCCTGGCGGCAGTGAACACAGCACGGCCGCTGAGCAGCAGCAGCAGCAGCGGCGCGGCGGCTCCGCTCATCCTCTCCGCGGTACCGGTACCGGTAACCGGCAACAGGTCGCTGTGTAAGTGTGTGTGTGTACTGTCCCGTTACCTCACCGTGTCTGAGCACCGGGAGAGGCTCCAGAGAAACTCCATGGTGCTTCTGGTTCCGGTAACATCCACAGAAAGCGGCGGTCCGAGCCGCCGCGGGATCGAACCTCCGGCGGCCCAGTGGCCGTTATCTGTTTCTGGCGGCAAAAAGTCCCGTTAACCCCGAGCGGAGTGAGTCGGTGCTGTTCGTTCGGACCCCGGACAGCTCGGTTTATCCGACCCGGGAGGCCTTAAAGCGGGTCATTACCGGAGGACACCGGACGACCCGGGTTTATACCGGGAGCTACCACATACGTCATTTAGCTGCGTTAAGCTGACGCGAGCTAGCGACAGACTGACCGGAAGCATTCAGTCTTCAAAATAAAAGGCAGTTAGCGACCGTTATTATGAATCAATCAAATTTATTTATTGATCTTATTTTTTGCATTTACGTTTGATTTATTGATTCTAAGCTTACTAATTTAAATTAATAAATATATATTTAAACGAGTTTTTATTTAAGGATAAAAAATGTTGCAATAATGTATAGTAATGAAAATAATCAATGATTAATAATAATTCATAAATGAAATTAAATAAATAACTCTTATTTTTATTTTTGGTGTATTTATTCTGATGTGTTGTATGTTGAGCTGCTGTAATATGTGGAATGAATTAAGTTGAATTATCTCTAATAATTTCATTGTAATTTAACTTTCTTTCCAATATTATCAAAATGGTAAACTTTAAAAACTAAAACTAAACTTTAACAAGGTCGTTTATTTTATTTTTGCATCCTTTTTTAATGTGCTTACTAATTTCCCTGTCTTATAAAATAAATAGAATTGTGTAATTTCCTTGTTTTATGTTGTTTTATGTTGTTTATATAAAATGTTGTAATGTTTATATATTGTTCTCTATGAAATTCAGCTCATTAAATGGATTTTATTTTGAAAACACGTCACCGGATGCAGTTTTTACACGAGGCTTCACACACACACACACACACACACACACACACACACACAGTGAGGTTTAACTCCTTACTGCCTCCTTGAAGCTTCTGTATTGATTTGTATGATTATAGTTTACGTCGAGCTGTTGGGGGCGGGGCCACAGAGCTGTCAATCACATTGACTGATCGATCAGGTGTGTGCACATAGGAGGGGTCTGATGCTGCTCTCAATGAACAAACACAAAATAAACTCAAATAAACAACCCAGTAAACAGTCAGTATAAACATAAACAACAACAATAACGTCTGTAAACAAACAGAAGGAGGCTGAAATAAATATTTACATGTTTAAGAGGTTTTGTGGATCTGACAGATGATACAGAGTTTATAATATAATGATAATAATATAATATATATATAGTATATATGTATATATAGTGTGCACCGTACATACACACACACTGTATACAGCAGACACTCACAGCTCTGTAGCGCCTCCCAGAGGGCAGAAGGTGGAACAGGTAACAGAGTTCATTAGTAGTAATAATAACTTTGATATATAAAATATAATGAAATATAAACATATAAATGCTGCAGTAGAACAATAAGAGCGGAAACTATAAAACTATAAAACACAATCAGAATAAAAAGAATCTTCATTTGTTGAATTTATTCTCTTATCATTGATTAATATAAACTGTCAATGCTGTAAACAACAACAGGTCCTGGAACGTCTCTGAATGTTAATGTTAAGGATTAATCTGAAAGAAAGAACTCTTGTAAATAACTGCGTATTGATTATTGATTGATCCTTTATGTCATTCTGAGTCTGAGCAGCATGAAGGAACCACAGACGTTACTCTCAGTATTCAGCCTTGTGTTGTTGTTGATTATTGTCCCTTCCTGCAGTCTGGAGGACAATATAAACAACAACAGATAAACAACAACCCATAAATTGGAGAATCGTCGGGGCGGAGGGTTGAGGAGAAAATACAACATTAATCTTCAACCCAAAGTTATTAATGGTAAACAAACTAATGAAACTAATCAGAGGCTCTGATCTGATTCTGATCATGTTGTTATTGGACTTTATTGTCACAGGGTGGTAAAAGACTTCATGATCAATCAATAAATAAACAAATAATCAATCAATAAGCTGATTACAGCTCAGTGGCGGACTGATGACGCTGTTTGTTGTGGATCAGATTACAGTGAATCTGTGAATGAAACCAACGCCGCACGTGCTGCTGAGGATCAGCTGGTTACATCATTGATCTGCACATCTCTAATCTGATCACATGATCACACACACACACACACACACACACACACACACACACACACACACACACACACACACACACGTAGCTGTGAGATTACAGTGTTTTCCAGTTGCTATCTCACTAAGATGACATAGCACAGTTATTTAAAGTGACACACAGAGATCAAAACCTCTTCTTAAGTCTCCAAAGGTCTAAACACATTTGATGTATATGTAACGCCCGTTAGTTAGACACAGTGTAATCCCCAGTTCTTACAGTTTAACAGGTGTAGAGCTATACGGCCTAGTAGATTTTAGATGTAGTTGCTTAGTTTCACCAGCAGGGGTACGCCTTTAGTTTCCTGCTTTCTGTTTCTGTTCACCGATGCAGACCAGAGCTCCTCGTGAGAGACGAGCGACTTTGATAAAGTGAATAACTGTAAAGTTGTTAAAATTACAATTTTGGAGGAAGAAGGTTTTTCTTGCCAAACCTGACCGTGTGGATATTGATTATTATCGAGTAAATGCTGTGAACGATTAGCGTAGCATGCTAGCGATGTGGCCATGGCTGATTACGTGCTTATTTTATTGAATATGTCTCCACTGTTTCTAGATATGCTTCTGTGATAGTGGTTTAAACCAACCGGAGACAGATGAACATGTGTGCTGAGGTTGAAATTGTATTTATTGTGTATCTCTGAAGGGGAAAAAAAGACATCTGTGTTAATAACACTAGCACATGCTATATAGCTAAGAAAGCTGGTTGGAGCTCAAACACACACAGCTGTGTGAACTTGAGTTTACAGAAGATAGTTAATTTCATTTTCTTGGGTAAAAACATGATTGAAAGTCATTCATTTCATAATTTTGTGTACATTAAGCTGTGATGAGTTAAAAGCATTTACAGATTTATATATATATATAATTGTGTGTTGGCTGTTAAAGTTATTGTGCAGCTGTTTATGAAACTTTGTCATTGAATAATTCACGTTCATTGATTTAAGATAAAAAGAGAGTTAATACTGTACAGTTAAGATAAATAGATAAAGAGAGATTAACGAGATAAATAAGATTGTATTGAAGAGATGCTACTACTACTGCTCTCTGCAGGTTGCTTTATTGTATGAGTGGATTCTGATGGCGAGCCAGAACCAAGCCCATTGGATCATGGAGCTGGACGCGGGCCTACAGGTGTGGAGGATGTGACGCCAGCGAGAGCCACACTGTGCATTGGAGAGAACATCTCTTCATACAGATGAGACATAAAACATAAAGTCACACTACCGGGTAGATGAACAATCACACAAACACACTGAGGAAGGACAAACTGTGAATATTGACTTCATTCAGACTTTACTTTTTCTTTCTTTTTGGACTGTGAAATGTTGTGTTGTTCTACTGAGCGTTATTCAGTGTAATTTTCGGAGTTGTTGGTAACTTCTGATACACCCCCGGCAGGAGTTCCCTGTGTCACTGTGACGTGCTACGGTAAGCGTACAGACTCATTCCCGGTTCACTTCCTGCTCTGTGTACACTGTTTGGTGCTGTAGCTCTGTCAGTGAACGCTAAATATACATTAGTTTTACTCGTTACAGCGGTTATTTTCCCGCTTTACATTTAAACGTAGACTAGTTCTACTTAAGCACTCGGAGTTACTCCTTCTTTTAGCGACTTTAAGCTATTTTCAAAAGTTTTTCATACACGTTAGTTTCATTAGCATTAGCAGTTAGCTATGGCTTCTCCCTCTCCCTCTCCTCTGTCCTGCTCAGTGTGTCAGATGTTTATATATATATTAGTTCACCACCAACCCATTCATGTTTCTAATACATTGTCCCCACTCAGCGATACACCCGCTGAGGAACCAACTCTGGTTATTGGCAGCTCCATAGTCAGAAACGTGAAGTTAGCGAAGCCAGCGGCCATAGTTAAATGTATCCCTGGGGCCAGAGCGGGCGACATTGAATCAAATTTAAAACTGCTGGCTAAAGGTAAACGTAAATACAGTAAGATTGTTATCCACGTCGGCGGTAATGACACCCGTTTACACCAATCGGAGGTCACTAAGATTAATGTGGAGTCGGTGTGTAACTATGCTAAGACAATGTCGGACTCCGTAGTTTTCTCTGGACCCCTCCCCAATGTGACCAGTGATGACATGTATAGCCGCATGTCGTCATTCCACCGCTGACTGTCGAGGTGGTGTCCAGCAAATGATGTGGTCTGATTAGGAGAGACGGCATCCATCCCACTTTGGATGGAGCGGCTCTCTTATCTAGAAATATGGCGAAGTTTATCTCTAAAACCTGACAGTCCAGAGTTAGGACCAGGAAGCAGAGCTGCTGTCTTACACACTTCTCTGCACTTTCTTTAGAACAGTCACCCACCCAAAACCCCATAGAGACTGTGTTTGTCCCCCGACCACCTAAACTATTTAAAGAAAATAAAAACAAGAGGAGTTCAACATAAAAATCTAATAAAAATTAAAACCAACTCCTCAGTAGCACAAAATAAGAGAATGAAATGTGGACTGTTAAATATCAGGTCTCTGTCCTCTAAAGCTGTTCTAGTGAATGAATTAATATCAGATTATGATATTGATTTACTTTGTCTTACTGAGACCTGGTTGTCCCACGAGGAGTATGTTAGCCTAAATGAATCCACCCCCCCCAGTCATATTAATACTCACATTCCTCGAGGCACAGGCCGAGGAGGTGGAGTAGCAGCCATATATGATTCGAGCGTTTTAATGGACCCTAAACCTAAACTAAATTATAATTCATTTGAAAGCCTTGTTCTTAGTCTTTCTCACCCAAACTGGAAAACACTGCAGCCAGTTCTATTTGTTATAGTGTACCGCGCTCCTGGACCGTACTCTGATTTTATATCTGAATTCTCAGAGTTTTTATCAAGTTTAGTCCTTAAATCAGATAAAGTAATTATTGTAGGTGATTTTAATATTCATGTGGATGTTAACAATGACAGCCTTAGTAACGCATTTATATCATTAATAGACTCAATTGGCTTCTGTCAGAGTGTAAATAAACCAACTCATTGTTTTAATCACACTCTTGACCTTGTTCTATCATATGGCATTGATATTGAACA